GCTAGGCGACCATCAATAATCTCCCTCTCGATCAAATCCCTGAAACGCACACAATTATTAGTCCAATGGTCATACATATTAGTCTAATGGTAGAATTTTATGGTTTTCTGGGAGTACAATTTGTTTATCCTTTAATAAGATATCAAATATTTTTTCTGCCTTACTCACGTCAAAACTATATTTCTTAATCGAATTTCCTTCTACACTATCTCCTGGTTTTAACATTTGACACTGATACGTAGGACCAGGACGCAATTCCGCTAAGTTGATCTCAAAATCTTCAGTCGAAATCTCATAATTAAGATCATCATTGAACTCGGAATTTTCTAAATAAGCCACTTTTTCCTTTCGAACAAATTTATCAAATTTTCTTAATCTTTCTTTTTCTAGCTTGATCTGTTCGATTCTTCTTACCTTTTCGGCTAACTGGGCCATATCTCTCAACTATTCATTTACTAATTTTTTACGTATCGAAAAATCTAACCCTGTTGCTGCAATCCGAACTAATTCATGTTCAGGTATATTAGTATAACATCGAGATTTTTAGCTATCGATGCAAACGTCTCTATATAATTGATTCCATAGGTTTGGATGTACCCTTTGGCCATTACTCTAGCTTTAAAGCGCTCAATCGTACCATCTACTTTGTACTTAATTGTATAAATCCATCGACATCTAATTTTTTTTTTTGATGGATAATCAACAAGTTCTCATGTATTATTTTTCAACGAGGACTTCTTCTCCTCATTCATAGTTGTTCTCCACCTTGGATCCATTAGGGCTTCCTGCTCATTGTTAGGAATAAGTAGTAGATAATTGATTTGTAAAAGAACAATTTGATTTTGACAGACAATGATTAGACATAATGGCTCATTGGATATCTAACCTTATTGAAAATTTCAAGTTCATAAGTGGGTTTAGGGATGATACCTCTATTTTATTGTGGTGATCAGTGACGGATCCAGAAACTTTAGATAGTGGTGGCAATACTTATTCATATATTTGTAATATTAAAAAATTTATATATAATTTTTAAAAGTATAAATATATTTTATAAATACTTTTTACAAGTTTTTATAT